CGTTTGTTTAGCGTAGACTCTTTTGGGTCTGGGTTCTGGCTCACTCCTGTCATCTTCAAAATAGCAGACATGAATTTAAGCAAAGACTTCAGCTACTGTGCGAGGCGATAGGTGAAGTTTCTGCTTCTCACTTTTTTTCTCCTTTCCTCATGAAATAATGCGATCGTTTCATTTCATCTTAAGTACAAAAAGTCAAATGACTACATTTTAAATGTCATGGTCCTCTTTTCTCTCCTTCTCCTTTCAAGACAAAATTCAAAGATACTTACTGTAAATGTCAGAAGAAAGGACATTGATCTTCAGAATGTCCTGAGAAACAAATGGGAGCAGGAGGAAAGAAGTGGTACTGTCTGATAACGAAGAAAAGAGAAGAAAGGAAAGTGGGGAAGAAGAGACAATCTTGTGATAATGAATAAATTAAAAAACGGAGAGAGAGAGAGAGAGAGAGAGAGAGAGAGAGAGAGAGAGAGAGAGAGAGAGAGAGAGAGAGAGAGAGAGAGAGAGAGAGAGAGAGAGTGAAAAAACAAAAAAGAAGAAAAATGAACTTTTTAATGTGATGTGTAGTAAAATTAGATTGTTAATTTGTACTAGAGAATATACCAAAAAGAAAAACGTAAGTGTCACTTGGTTTTGATTTTTATAAAAAGGACCTACACTCACGTACTCACACACATCAATCACGGGGGAAAAGTAATTTTGAATTTTAATCAGTTTTGGCAAATAATGGCGATTCTCTTTTTGAGAGAGATGGGTGACCCTGAAAAGGACCGTTGGGTGTTTTTTTATTTACAAAAAAAAAACAACAAACAAACAAACTGAGGAACATGTAGTGATGAGCTTTAACTGCCTTAAGCCATTGCCACAGCCAAGGCCTTCTTCTGGACCTGCTCCTGTCGATGATTTGGTAGAGAGATCACTAGCGCTGTTATCTCAGGTGAGGTATGTGTGTGGACGGTGTTGGACTGTTTGGCTCGAGAAGGTCTTTTTCTCGTGGGTCGTATTAAAGAAGTCTAATACATTTGTTTGAAACTCCTTAACTCTGCCAAAATGTCTAAAGAGTACCGTCAACGTTTGACTTTCGCTTTTCTCCTTCTCTCATAGATCTTATTTTTTCTTTGCTTCTTCATCTTTCTGTCGTCTTCTTCTTGCCATTTCTTCTTCTTGTTGCTGTTGACTGAAAAAGGGCTTGTTCTGCTTCTTTCTGGTGTTGCAAACATTTCTCCAAATCTTCTTTTTCTCTCTGTTTAAAATCCTCGACCTACGGTAAGGAAGGAGAAGGTGGTGAAAGTGCTGGTACCCGAGCATATTCTTGTGATGCAGTCATAAAATCCACTAAATAACAATTAAAATTGTTAGCCCCTTGCCACACTGTTCCGCCCGATTGAGGTCAACCACTTGCAACATTTTTGCCAGTGTCCAGTACCGTGACGTTACCGCTCTCCAATTCCTATTGACTCGAGATAGGGCCAATACATTGTCGTTATTCATTTTTGTTAAATTCCTATAGACCCTAGAGTATCCCACCCATGTTAAAGTCCTATCTACCCCATAGTGCAAGCGACCGAATTTATCATAGAAATCTACGTGTCCCTATACATTTTGACCCCATAGCTCAAACCTCCAAATTTAACACTAAGACACTGTATCACCCCCACTCACTACTAAAGTCTAAGTCGGCTCAATCACGCTTCGTCGGTATTGCATCAATAATATAATGGCAGTATACGAGATACAACCTGTCAATAGACTAAGTACCTTGAAGTGTGTGAATATTAACAACGCAATCACAGTGTATGGATGACGACCTATCGATGCTAACAAGACAAAGGCCAGCAATATCCATAAGAGCTGGAATGAATATTGTGTTCCGTCTATTTTGTTTATGAAATGTTCACCCGGTGCTAAGTCATAAATAAGAAAACGATTTTTTTCATCCTTCTGCAGGAGATCATGTAAAGTATATGCTGCACCTTAAAGATTACATCTGATCTGTTGTAACATGCACGGATTTAGCTATCAAGGGACAACTTATCGCTGCAGTCGGTCTGCACAAAGTACAGAAAATCAGCATTTGTACACTGCAGAAAGAAAGATATATCTTACATTGCAATTCTACGTAAAACATTTCAACTCGTTATCGCATAATACATAAGAATCCTAATATGTTTGTTGCAGAAAGTCAAACAAACCTAACCAAATGCGAAATTAAAGATTTTTGAAAATACGCGTATATTGTATTATGCGAAGAGAAAGCATATTTGTACCTAAGAATTAGTTATTATTGACATTTTCATTTCGCTTTTTTGATCGTTTTTGCACGGCACGGCAACACATAAAAGTTATTTAGTGCGGAGACAATTTGAATAAGTTATTATGCCTTGGAAGAAGAAGACCCATTTTGATCTAAAGATATGATTCAGAAAAGTACACTTTTAGTGTTTTACGCTAAACGCTCAGCCATCGCGGTACATCTTTATGTACAAGCTATGTAAAAGAAAGAGTAGAGATCGAACAGGCTATAGAAATGAACTAAATCGGATAATGATGCACATTTAGCAGTACTTAATTCGTGAATAAAATGTTGATAGAAGTTGCACGAAATTTCATGTCAAAAACCAAATTGTATTTCACACACACACACACACACACACACACACACACAGATATATATATATATATATATATATATATATATATATATATATATATATATATATATATATATATATATATATATATATATATATATATATGTGTGTGTGTGTGTGTGTGTTTATATGTATGTATGTATGTATGTATGTATGTATGTATGTATGTATGTATGTATGTATGTATGTATGTATGTATGTATGTATGTATGTATGTATGTATGTATGTATGTATGTATGTATGTTCCAAAATCTATACAGGTGTTTATATCTTGAATAATAAAAGTCGCTGCAGTCTGTGCATAACGCATGAAAACCACCACAGGTGCACTAGAGGAAGGGTAATATTTTGTAAATTTAAACTGTACATACGTATATATCTATATTCAAGACATGTTTGCGCAATGCACAAAAATCATAATAGGTTCACAACAGAAAACGTGACTTATATTACAAATTCGAAATTAAGACAGATTCTACATAAGACCGACGTTTTAAATTTGCCAAACAGACTTTTACTTCAGAAACATGTTTGGCTTTACAGGCCTGCCAAATATATCTAAATATGACAGGTATTACTCATATTTAATTCGTGTTAAGAGTGTTCGAACTATTATTCTAGACATGATATTTTCTTCCTTCTACCTGAAGACAATTTGTCTTGATTAGCTTTAGAACCAATATAATAGACATAAGAGGTTGTTTGTTTCTATAACTGAGAGCAAGAATATTTGTATCAAGCTGATTGAACGTCGTAATTATTTTTTTTCTCTGAAAAGAATCCCAAGTGCCTCCTCATGTCCTCTCCCGAAAATTAAATAGTGAACTACTTATATACAGTAAGTTGAAAGTGAGATTACTAAATCAGTAGACACGATATAAAATAATGCTTTATTTCATGATTTATGCTGAAAATGTCGAACATATAAATATGAATCATACATAGCATGTGCGCAGAAGGCAGTCACGTGAAGGTCTAATAGCACGTGAAACTGTCATCACTACCGATGACGTAGTATTTATTTATCAGCTGAGACCATTTCCTGAATTTAATTTTCCATCAATTTGTTTTAGCTTTATAAGCCGAATATCAATTATACTCGAATGTGAGTCGACATTACCAATAAAGATTAAAAGTATCACGAATGGACATGCAAACTGGAGGTATGTTTAAATTTTTTAAACTGATATTGCAACCAAAAGGAAGTATAATAACTGGATAATCTCTGTTTCTCCTCTGTTGTCAAGGGAAAATGGCGAGGGGGCGGTTTACATATTTTCTTTTAAACTTCTGCGAGAGTGACAGGTGTAGAGTGAAGTTGTTTGCATTTATAACATGCACAATTGATAGAATGTTGGCAAACTTCTATGTTATTTTCATGTACTGCAGTGGAATTGTCTTTGGATATTGTGCTTGTGTAAAATGTACATGTTCTATGCACACAGTTAATTAAAATGACTGATCCCATGTACTCCAAGATTAGCCTGAATTTGTCTAAAGAACACCATCTTTAGCAGTTATTAAAACAAAAATGAATGTTTCAAGAATAGACAATACAGGCTTGCAATAAATGCTGCAATAAATGAAATACTAGATATATAAAATGTCAAAAGTTATATGCTCGTTTTATACAGTTTACCTCTAAAGTCCAGCAAGTGAAAATGGCCAAGCGAAACTAGACGTTTGTTTTATTAAGTGCACATCTGAAGTGAAGGCCATACTGTATACTCTATAATCCATATGACACCCATCAATCATACGACCAATAAAGCTAATTAAAATATCATTAAGCAATACCTAAGATGTGCAAAGTTCATTTAGTCAGCCAGTATATCCAATGAGGAAAACCAGGGAATTTTTTTTTTAAAACTAACTCCATGCAAATGTGAAACTGTTGAGTACCAAACAAGGAATCTGTGATGGATATGTTTTTCTACAAAGATGGACACAGTGAATATTTGAACCACAGGTTAATGTCCTCTTTTAATGAGATCGTTGAATAACGAGTACTTTGTGGTAGGTTCGAATATACAATATTGACGTTGAGTATGAACGTGCAAAGTGAGTACACAAGAAACAGAACTGAAAACCAATAATTGTGGAAGGTCTACATACAAACCTTGTGTGTCATTGTGTGATTTAGATTTGTAACGTAGCTTTAACAATTTTTCAGTGCTACGATATTTGCAGTGTGACAGTTTAATGCGATGTCTAGCACTGGGGCATCATGCCGCAGATTTGTAGCATGATGTCCCACCCAGTCACATTATCCTGAGACCAGGACGACCAGTCCTAACACTAACCTCTTAAAGCTGAGCGTCTAGCACTTTGTTTTTTAGAAGTCTTTGGTATGACTCGGCTGGGGTTCGAACCCACCATCTCCCTCTTCATCGGAGAACGCACTAACCATTAGGCCACCGGAGAAGTCTACAAACATTGTAATGTTTAATTACAATTCTTCAATAAGTAACCCAACAAACTTTTATATTATTTTAACAATAAAAGTGTTCCCTAGTTACACGAAATCCACAGTTTATATTTCATCTCTACCTGAGAGGAAGTATATAAATAATGAAAGGAAGCTAAATATTTGCTCAAACTAGCCAGTGAAAAACTCTCTTACCAATGGATCCATGAGTATACATTTGACAAAAACGGATCCATGAGTATACATTTGACACCAATGGATCCATGAGTATACATTTGACAAAAACGGATCCATGAGTATACATTTGACACCAATGGATCCATGAGTATACATTTGACAAAAATGAATCCATGAGTATCCATTTGACACCAATGGATCCATGAATATACATTTGACACCAATGGATCCATGAATACACATTTGACACCAATGGATCCATGAGTGTACATTTGACACCAATGGATCCATGAGTGTACATTTGACACCAATGGATCCATGAATATACATTTGACACCAATGGATCCATGAGTGTACATTTGACACCAATGGATCCATGAATACACATTTGATATGTGTGGGGTTATATTTGTTTATTCTCAGCATTCACGTCACACGGAAGAAATGGATTGCATGGCAGCATCTACTGATGCAGTCATTGAGAAAAGCTTATTTTCAAGGAGAAAAATAACCACTGATGCTATTTTCCCTTACAAAACAAATCAATTAACGGTACATTATGAATTACAAATACAATAAGGGCACATTGAGAAATAAAAAGAAAACAATAACACATTTTTAAACATGAGAAACAAAAACGCACACAGCCACACACACACACGTAATATGATGCATATTTATATTTTTTGCAACTCATGGTACATGAATTTGTAAAAAAAAAATTAATGTTTATTTATGGCTGTAAATTGTAGTGATCATCTTTAGTTAGATTTTTAATACCTGATATGGATCTGTTGGATGAATATTAAGGGCGTAAAATTGCAGAATCTATAAATAGGTGCTTACGTATGTGTTGACAATTACTACTTTATAATCTCAATGATAAGACTTGTTGACGACTTCGGGTCAATTTCAAATTGGCTTATGGGGTCTGGAATGTTGTAGAAGAATTCAGTTATTTACCGTTGGTTGGGCTAGGTCACATGAATATGTATTTCGCAATAGTTATTGGGTAGTATTATCTCTCAGGAATGTAGTGAAATATTGTCGTACTATCAGGTGTATATAAGGAGAGAATTGAGCAATAAAATTTCATTCTTGTTTGGGAATCATTCTTATTTCTTCCGTTCCTGTTGTAACATCAAGTCTCCAGATAGCATTTTATTTTGAACCTGGATATTTATTTTTTGAGAGAAAATACATTCACTGTTGAGTGGAAATAGAAAGTGCTCAGTTGGACTATACTATTATTTTGGAACTGCTGTGAATTATTCAATGGAAGTCAGGGAACACCATTTTAAAAAAGTCGCTATTCTTGGCAAAACAGTAAATATCCAGTTCTGACGTTTTTACGGAACTTTTCATTTTTTTAGACTTTAATATAATTATATGAAGATTTTTTGGAATCATTTCATAATACTGCAAGTTCCTCTCACAGTTTCATTTATAAAACTGATAAATAAAATATTTGTTAACTTTGACAAAACTTGTTGCTTTTCCTTCTTTCTGTTACTTAGTTTATCAACATAGAGTCCTAACAATACACACAAGCAAACAAATTGGAATGCCACTTTTATGTAGAAAGTGATTTACATGGCCTGATTAAAGATAAAGCCAAATATTTAAAAGCTGTATTGGTAGTTCCATTCCTTCCTGTTTAATGACGCATTGTATCATAAATTTAATTCAATTAGTGCCAATACTAGGAACACATAACGTTGTGCTATCCTTTTTAAAGCACATACTACCAATATAAACAACATTTAAGAGCCGACCATCACGTGCTTTCGAATGACCTATGAGTAGACCACAGTACAACTAACAACGCGATAAGATTAACAACAAAGAGGTTGCCCCATAACCTGATTAACCCCAGTTCATCTTTCAAGCTCAGGCCCACTTCTATAATGTCACAGACGTATCAGTATCCAAACTGAATTCATATTGGTTACAATCCATTCATAAATCAGCTAGTTCGGAGTGTGTGAACATTATTGTCAATCCAATCACAGGGTAAAGATGATAACTTTGAATGCGAACACGTCAAAAGGTAGCAATGTTGAAAATAATTCAAACTAATATTGTACCTTATTCTATCTTATCCGTCCTGCAATCAAATAGTGATAAGGTACAAATAAACCAAACGTCACTCATTCGTTTCCCACGAGGTATTATTAAACCGTTAACAGTATAATTGTTTCAAAATCCAATCAGTTGTCAATTAAGAATCATCAACGATGTGATCTTTATTGTACTAATTGACAGATTATGAGCCAGCAACCATCTGTTACATTTTTGCTGTTTTACATATTCATCTTTTGTTTCATAAAGAGTCACGTCTAAAATTGATACTGGAGGCATTACAATGGCAAGATGATAACGCATTTGACAATAAATGATTAAACAACTTTTAAAAGAGACTACCACGAAGATTTCAATAAAAAAACAGACATCATGATAACATGATGAACAGTGGATATCATTGGGAACGAATCACATTTTTACAAATCACTGCACAAAAAGAGACTAAATCTAACCCATCAAATTTTCCAGTTATTGAAGAACACATACATACACATACATACATACATACATACATACATACATACATACATACATACATACATACATACATACATACATACATACATACATACATACATACGTACGTACGTACGTACGTACGTACGTACGTACGTACGTACGTACGTACGTACGTACGTACGTACGTACGTACGTACGTACATACATACATACATACATACATACATACATACATACATACATACATACATACATACATACATACATACATACATACATACATACATACATACATACATACATACATACATACATACGCTTTCCAAGATGGAATATGTTATCAATCATGTTCACATGTCAGAAGAAAAGTACGACCCGCTCAATTTTGGAACTTACTTTGGATTTCATTTTATCTTCTCAATGGGAAGATTAGTTTGTTGTTTGTAACGAGTAATCCAAACTCCATTCATTCTACCCTTTCGGTGTAACATCACTATAAACAATTCGCCTTAAACACAACCATTCATCTTATTTTCATATGTGCATGTTTCATTCACGATTAGCATTGTATTTCTTGCATTTATCCTATAGTTCATAAGACATTTTATCGGTACAAAACAAAATTCAAAATTCCATAAATTAACTAATAATATAAATGAAATAAAAAAATCTTTTTTCAATATATGTGTGTAAATTAAATATTAATTAAGTTACAATATATACACATATACTATAAAACTGGGAAATGATTTGGATATAGCGGCTGTCCTCACAAATATACTATATAGCAACATACAATATAACACAATACATATAGCATACATAGGACGTAGGACACCATTAGCCAAGGTCACATGAATATGAACAATGGGAACGACCCCAATATGGTAAATGAAACCCTATCGGATGAGTGAACCTTTAGATACATTAGGAATAAATACCCCATCAAAAATTGAGAACATAATAAAATTTTTGATCAAAATTCTTTTAATAAAGTTTAACATAGCAACACATCAGGGGGGATACAAATATACATGAAAACACTTTACTGTTTATTTTTTTTTTTCGATTATGTAGGGGGCATCTGTCTGGTGTCCTCCCCCCTATAAAAAAGAAACAAAAGCGCAAATCATGAAAACATCTCGATCTATTGGTAGTACTATTTAGTAATGTTTAGAGAAATGGGTAATAATGCCTTGTTCTGTCATAAAAGATTTTATCTGTCTAGTTGGAACTAGCTGATGCAAGATTTGCTTCTGTCTAGTTGGATCTAACTGAGAAACCAAGCACTGTTCACATCCAATTGCATCGAATTTCAGGGTTAGAGTGGACGTCTTCTTATGAATTAAGAATACATAATATTGAGCCTTGTATTAGTCACATTGTAGAGCATTAATGAAATAAATGATCGATGGATTATACTGTAAAATAAACTGTTTAATGGGGTTTTCAGCTTTATAGTTTTCTCAAAGTGATTTACACGAAGGTAATGATTTTATTATTAAGATTTTAATAACTATTTTGTCATAAACAAACAATATGCTATTCAGTCTTATACTTTACTCATTTCAACAGGTAAAATGATTCTTTTGTGTGAAACTGTATAGTTGTATCACATGGAATTATAGGAAAGTTGTGTACACTTTGGAATATTTTCCTTAAGATCGACCCTCTTTCTTCCATCTCATACAAAAACCTACAAACTTAAATATGACCGAAAGTAGGACAATTACATATGCAATAATCGATGGATGGATGTCGATGAATCGATTGCAATAAACAAATATATAGATACAACATTTAAATAAAGAAGATAGAATTAAAGAAATATAGAACAATGAAATTATAAGAATTCAAAAGATAAGAAATACAAAGGTTGTTAAATAATTTGCAAGATTTAAAACATATATAATGTCTGTTAACTAAAATGGCCGTAACGATGATAAAAGGTGAAAAAGTGAAAACGACAACGATAAACATTAAGAAGCGGATACATACATACATATATATATATATATATATATATATATATATATATATATATATATATATATATATATATATATATATATATATATATATATATAGTGTTGTTTCCTGTCCAGTCATAGGAGTCATTGAGCGGTCTAAATCGTTCGCCTTTGCTGATAAATACTATCTGACCTCTGTCGGCGTGGGTTCGAGTCATGGGTGCAGCCAATGGTAGTAGGTAAGAAAGCTTGCCAGGTATATCCCGTGGTTGGTGTTTGTTACCGGAGTTTTTCTGGGTTCTTCCATTC